CATTATTACAAATAACTTCATTTCTGGACATTTATGGTTTGATTTCTTTGTATGTATGGATCACTTGGGTTGTTACCGACATCTGGTGAAAATTTCACGTCATTAGCACCTCTAGTAATATATTTACTGAGAAAAATGTTGACGTGTTCAATACTTATTTTACCTGCTGTACACACACACACATTCATACATACCTACAGTATATGCACATATTCAGTCAGTGTCCAAACAGAAAACCCAGGATGTAAACACCTGTTTGAGTGCGATTGTGAGCATGCATGCATATACTGCATCTTACCACAGTTGTATTGGCACTGCTACATACTTTTAGCCAGTCTTTGTGCCAATAAAGTTTGTTGGTATTTCCTCCTCTGCAGCAAGGAGCTCTCAGCTATCAGTGGCTCACCATTTCAGGATTAAAGTTTCTGTCACTACCTCACTCAGAGGACATGTGACAGATGGAGGTGGCGGGGGTCTCTGTCCCCCATATCTGGACCAAGTTAGTCAGAATACGTGTCAGTAATGCTATTAGGCAACTTCTGAAAGAGTCTTTTGACTATTCACGGCCCAGTTTTCATAGCTGCCTTGTGGAAATTTGGCGAAACACCTCACATGACTAATATGTCATAATTTTTAAATACTGTCCCCATATTTTAATAGAGCAGTAGCTATACCAAAATACTGAACCTGTGTAAAAACACCTTTTCTAAACATCCTTACCAGTTGCCTGAACCACCTTAACTGGCTCCTCTTGATGTGGAGGAGCAGCAGCTCTTGAGTCTGTCCTGAAAAACTTTTTCTCACCCTATCTCTTAGGAAGAGTCCAGCTACCCTGCGAGAAAACTCATTTCGATCACCTGTATCTGTGACATCGTCCTTTCAGTCACTACCTAATATTCGTGGCCATAGGTGAGGGTAGGAACATAGACTGACAGAGAGTTTGGCCTTAAAGCACAGCTCCCTCTTTACTTCAACAAAGTACAGAGTCCACAATACTGCAGAAGCTGCTATATGCATCCATCTATCAATAACAAACTCCATTCTTCAAGTGTGTGTTTATTTATATATATATATATATATATATAAACTCACTGAATGGTATGATGTTTAGAATTTGTTCTTCATCCCAAGAAATTATAATCAGGATTTAGGAGTTGTTCCAAAATCTTGGACCACCACCACATTCAGGACTGCACTACTTACCTCAAGGCTATCTGATGCTAATGCAGAAGCCTGTTTGCATGTGCTGTTATGTGCTCTCTCTGCAAATGTAAAATAATTTCATAACCAGTGTTGGCTTGTTCTCGCCATTTTACCGTCCAAGTATTCTAATTTCCGCGAGATGGAGCCAAGTGAAGCTGCACAGGAGGAAAGGACAGAGGGTGAAGAAAGACATTAACATCCATCCATCCATCTATCCATCACGCTTCCGTTGATTTGATTCTCCTCCCTGCCATTCTCTGCCATTATCACTGATAATATTACAGCAGCCTGTGGTGCAGAGTTACATTTAGAGGTCAAAACTGTACTTTACTGTATTAAAA